TTAGTATTGTAGTTTTAACCATTATGAATAAGCAATTTGTTATCTAGGGTTTTGATGGAACCTTCTGTAGGATAAATTCTTGTTATGTTTTTATATATTGAGCCGCAATATTTTCTCTATTTGTTCAACTATATTATTCTTGTGGTTGATTGAAGGGCCCTCAATTAGTTGTGCCTATTTAGTATGTATTACTCGGGAGAGAGTGCATATTTAGGTAGTTGTTGAACAACATCACTCCCGACGTATGTGAGGAATCAATAACCAAGGGTTTAAAGGTGGGATTAGGGATAACGAAACCATGGTTGCGATCTAAGTGAGCTGTAATTAAAGCCAACTAGCGTTACTCGGGAGAGTATGTCTAGTAAATTGTCGTGATTACTCGCGAGAGAATTACAAACGCAGAGCGCTCATGATCGGTATAGAATACTTACGCGAAATTATAGAAGACATAGCAGGAAGGATTTCGACAATTGTGGAAATCATAACTTTAGACCTCCATAATCTTTTCTCCGGCCTGTAGCATATATCTTCAGTGTTAATTTATTATTTTAATTTGTTAGTTAGTTATTTAAACACAAGAATCTTAATATCTATAAGTTATGAATTATTCAAGCTTGTATTATTGGTGATATTGAACAACTGTAGTTAAGCCTTAGTTCTCTGTGGAATTCGACTCCGGACTTGTAAACCGGATTATATTTGCAACGACCGCTTTATCCTTTTTATAAGGCATATTTGGGCGTGATCAAAACTCCATTTTGACGAAAATGGACATACCACCAAAATATGCTTATAGGCTGTTAATATCTACTTATTCCCTTGAATCTACGATGATGTTCTGTGGATGCTGTAATTTGAGGTTTATTTTGGTGTTATTGGACTTGGCCTTGGTGTTTCACTTCTCTCGTGAGTATATTTAATTGATCATACCTTATAATAGTGGCTTCATGGTTATCTAAAATGACAAAGAGACACTTCTGTGGAACACAAGCATTCTCTACTGTCCTAAGTTTTTGTGTGCAAAACATTCAACAACAACTCTTTTAACAACTATAGTTTGCATGTGTGTGCATATATATCACCTGGCAATAGCAATGAACGAGAATCAAATTCTCTTTCTTCTTATTGTAAATGTTAAAAGAAGGTAGAAATTTTAGCAATCAATGATTTTGAATAACAAACACATGTAATTATAAGTATGTGTTATTGTTGTTGGTATCATGTTGTTGAGTTTGCTTCGTTCTTCACTTTCTTTTGATATTTTTAATAAATAACATTGTCTCTAATTTGATTAGAAAGGAAATGATGATGTCTCAAAGGGGATCCAGTGGCGGATAACTATTAAGCAGTGGCGGATCCAGGATTAATTTCGAGCAAGGGGGTTCAATATTATTAGGAAGTGAACAGTAAAAATTTCATCAAACGAGTCATCGAAATTTGTTGAATCCAAATGTAATGTCAAATGGGTTCATAAAATAAATAAATCTAAATAGGAATTAAACTATCGTCGAAACTCATGCTAATGATATGTTGGATTAAAATTAATACATTGGTTTGTTTTGAAGTAATTCTTTTTACAAAAAAAGAAAATACTAGTAAAAAAGGGGTATTATAAGGAAGAAAAGGCAAAAAAAAAAATCATGTATAGTAAATAATAAACAAATAAATGAGCAAAAGATAATTGCGAAAACAACTATTTTAATAATTAAATAAGACAAAGAAGTTGAAGGCAAACAATAGGAGTCTTATTTGCCTCACCTTCCGCGTAATGTACTGTGCAAGCAGTGGAAAGAAAACATAACTGCAGTGTGTGGGAAGTAGGATCGAACTTGGGCCCTTAAAGAAAGTAAGAAGAAATAACTGCAGTGTATGGGAAGTAGGATCGAACTTGGGCCCTTAAAGAAAGTAAGAAAAAATAACTGCAGTTTATGGGAAGTAGGACCGAACTGTCAGTAAAACCCAAACCAGAGCGAATGGTATGTGTTCCTCTGGTTTGTAATCGGGACTCCATTTCTGTAGCCACATTTGCATGCCTTCGATGTCAATTACCCTTCTATACCAAACCGACTTGCAATCTTCCTCAGTAGTGAAGTCCAGGAATACATTATAGTTGTGATAAACTCCAATTTTGACACTCCCTTTTATAGAGATTCTAACGTTGATATTTCATCTCCACCTCAGAACTTATCAATCTTACATGTGCTTCTCCTATAGGGGAAAATTATGCCCACACCAAGGAAATGTAAAAGATATAAATATTTGTATTTGCATTCTAATAGCTATTTGCATAACTGAATTATTTTCCTCATGCCATGCAGCTTGAGCTGTGAACTTTCTCGTGGCTATTTTATATTCGCAAGAATAGATACCCTGCTCATTATGTATAAGTTTTAATCTCTAAGAATCTTCTAAATCCAAAAACATTGTATGCAGACAACGCTCTTTCTCCTTTTGAAAGATTCTTTAGAAACTTTTTACCGCATTGTGAAGGTGATTGATTTGGGTCTCTAAGAAGCCTTCTAGATACACAATATTAAAATTACAGTTTATTGTACCAAGTCTAGTCTCCTCCTCTTCGTACGTTACGAGGTGTTACACCTAAGTAACTGTCTCTTTCCTTTTATATATAGTGCTTTTTAAAAGGCAACCTTAAAATTGCTTTAAATACCGAAGTTTATGTTGGGGGCAAGAAAAAGCCATAAAACCTAGAGATACATTGTAAACAGATTCCAGTAATCATCATTATGATGAAACAGAACAGCATACATCTATCTGTGAAAACCAGTATGACTTGATCACTACTAAAAAAACATTAATTTCAGGAAGTGGTGGGTGTAGATGCAATTTTAATATTGTAATAGCAGCATTGTTGTTAGAAGCGTTATCAAATGACATACACAAAAACTTTTTCAGCAAGATTATAAAATATAGCAACTTCATAGATAGTATTATTATAAATGCACCAGTATGACTTTGATCACTACTAAAAAAATATTAATAGTGGACACACTTCACCTGCATTCAAAGTGAAATTCAGCTTGGACTTTCAACTTTCTGGTGCAAAAAAAAAAAAGAAAAAAAAAAAGAAGAAGAAAACTCACACTTGAGTTCTCACGCGCTTTGAGCTTGAATTTAGACAATTATAAAGACACATATTCTTGCTAATAACAAAAAACTAACAATTTCACAGAAGTAAAACAAGGCTTGTACATAAACTCCTATCTTCATATCGATAAGTAAATTCAACTCTAAAAGAGATTTGAGAGGAACATTTTGCAAAAGCTGTTGTGCTAGTTATATATGAAATGAACTAAAGACATATTTAATACTCTGGGATTCTAGAAGTCCTTCCGGGCCCTAAAATGTACGAGCAAAAATGCATACTTGTTGACAACACTATAGGAGAAAACAGACAGTAAATGCTCAACATAACCTGGAATCTGTGATGATTATGTGCAGAGCACATCAGATTTCCATACATTAAAAGTCTAGATCTAAAGAGATAAGTATAAACCGAAGTAGCAAGCTGAAGCAGAAGAAGATTTAGGGCTATATTTGACTGCATTATGGCAGGTGCATATAAAACAACAAAGAAAGAACAGATGAATTATTAGACCTTGACTATTCAAGCTTCTAAAAGCATAATCTACTACCTTTATTAACTATAATATGAGATTTTCTTCTAACTTGCTGGTCTCAACAAATGAAGTGCAAACTAACGAAAAGACAACTTCAGAACCAAGGAATTTATCAATAAATTGTTTATCTGTGTCAATCATGAGAAGTTTTGTTAGAATATCACTGTAACTAATCAATTTACTAAAAGTTTAGAACAACGTAAACAAGATGTCAGGACAACCAGTAGATGAAAAGATGTATGTGAATCATGAGTTTGTGGAATTCCCCTCTTCTAAGACTAGAGGTTTAAAAGCTTGGCCTCATTTTGTTAAAAAATATAGGAGAACCTACATTAACTGTAAAACTGATCAGGGTTATTACCGTCCATTAAGTAATGTACATGTTGTTTGACTTCTTCAGTATTATATAAATGTGTGTACAACCGTGTAGAGTGATTTTGTCAATGCAATGCTGGTTAATTAATGTGCATTGTTAATAAGACTTCATGTTTGCTTTTATTTTCATTAATGTTGTGAATCCTATGGTATTGGCAATTTGCCTTGCTTCTTATTGTTCAGACTGTGCGCTTCATATTATGAGAAACCATCTACGATAATATTTTTGACAGTGAAAAATAGAATAATTAAACTTTCTGAATAATTCAGTTAGTTTTCCATTGAGGGCATTGTCATAAAGGCAATGGGTTAATGGACAAATACACGATATAAATCTACTATATAATTGAGTGTCTTTTCTACTGTAGAACAATACAAGTATGCCATATGTTGAAGAATTACTTTATATGCTTAAAATATTTTATTATATGCTTATATTACACAGATGGCACCTGGTAAAAAAAAAGAAGACAAGACATGCTTTGCAGCATCCTCAGCATACTTTACGTCCCACTACCTTGTCTTTGCCATTTATGAGTCCTCCTCCTCCTCCTCCTCCACAGCATACTTCAGGTCCCACTACTTCGTTTGCGCCATTTATGAATCATCCTCCTCCTCCTCCTCTGCAACTTCACTGCCACCCGGCTTGTTCCTTCCAATGAATCTACGAAGGTAGTTGTTGATTGTGTTAAAGCATTTATCGAGATTCTTGGAGTAAATGGTCAGATATACCGTACATTTACAGAGACCAGATGTGGAATCAATTTAGGGTACGAAACCAATAAATTTTATATTATTTATCAAATTACTCTTATTTCATCTAATGTTTTAAATTATTTGTAGACAAGATGTGCATGGCTTCCCAGATATCATCAGCAAATAAGTCATAATTTCGAGAAAAAAGGTAGTGATAGGCTTAAAAATATGTTGAATAAGGCTCGACTCGATCAAAAGATGCCCGGTTGGATACTAAAAGACATATGGGATAGACTTAATGTGACGTGGACCTCTGAAGAATTTAAGAAGAGGAGCAATGCTGCAAAGGCTGTCCGAGCCTCCAATACGGGTGGCTCATTGCATACTGGGGGTTCAGTTAGTATGGAGACCCATCGAAGGAGAATGGTAACTTTCTTATTATATTTGCTTTGATTTTAACTATATGCGATTGAACTTTATCTAACTTAAATTTTTTTTTTGCAGGAAAAGGAAAAAAGGAGACTTGTGACTTATGCTGAGGTTTTTGAGGACAAACATATTGTCACGTCCCAAACTACCCCCTAGACGTGATTGGCACCCAGCTAACCCCACCTGCCAGGCGAACCCCTTTCTCTAACGTTTAACTATTTACACAAACACTGAGAGAAAAAGTGCAGGCCTAAAGTATTATTAATAATTAAAGAGGTAAAGATTATCGCCCAATACCTTAATCAATTGATAGAAAAATCAAGAACCATTCAAATAATAAACTCTAGCCCAAATCCCACACTAAGACCACGGAGCACCTAATTGAGTAATATGAGTTTAATTGATGGGTATGCAAACCCCAAAAAAAGAAAGAAATAACTAACACGAACTAAGCAAGTCTGAAACGAAAGCCTCCACGAATAATGCGGTGGCTCACATCAGAAATAGGATCCACTCGAACAAACTCGTCAGCCACTAGCTCTATCTCCCGCAACGGTATCTGCATAAAGATGCAGATAAGGAGTGAGTTATACGTAAATATAACCCAGTAAGATCCTCGGCCCGCCACTTTAATACCTCTGAAACAAGTGTTAGAAAATACAAACACACTACAACACGAATGATATAGTAAATATGAAAAATTATACAATAACTCAATATATGTGTATCAACAGAGTTATTAAGAATTAACTAACAAGGATACACACTAAGGTGTGAACGCCAANGGGTTTATGTTCTGTAAATACTCCCTCAAGTTCTTAATATCAACCCTAGGTGATTTCAAGCCTTCTAAAGTGATTCTAGTGCCAAAAAAAAACACTAATTGATTGCTAGTTTCGCTTCCTTGTTGTTGTGGCAGAATTGGAGGGATATTTCGTGGAGAATTAAGGTCAAATTGGAGTTGTTCTTTCTGTATAAAGGTAAGGAACCTCTTAATCTATATGTATTTAAGATTATCCAAGTTACGGCTAAGTCATTGAAGCTAGAACTTGTGAAATATATATCGAAAGGCTTGGTAGTAATGTTATCGGTTGGTGGACTGTTTTGGGATGCTCAATATGATTATTATTGATGTTGTTTGGGCTGTTTGGTGATTGTTTGGAATTGTGTGAAGTCATATATATAGGGGAGGTGCTGTCCGTTTCATCGTAAAATAGGTTGTGGTCGATACATAATAGTTATGACGCTTGAAGGTAACTATAGTACCGTTTCTCTTATTGTAGACTAAGGAGTCGTGAAAATTGCATAGCTTGAGATTGGGGCAGTATATACAAGGTATGTGAGGCTATCCCTTTCCTTCTTTTGCGCGACTCCGTTGTACATAATGTAATGAACGAGCTTCCAAAGATACTCTACTCTTAGAAGCTAGCAGTACTTACATTGTTTCCCCTCTTATGGAACGATTGATGTTGATGTTGCTTCTCTTATTCTTATGTTATCAATGTTATTGGTACTTCCTGATTCTTATAAGGTTCATGGTGAAGAGTTAGTCCTAATAACGTGTACAGAGGATACCGACCTTACGTCACTCCGAAAGGTTTAGAACGTGAGTTCATGAGTCGAGCATGCATTATATATATGTATCTATTTTACCCTACCGAGTCGCGCTATAGTCGGCCGGGTATGGAACCTATTGTGCAACCACTGATCAGTTGGGTTTTACCGAGCTCCACGTGGCCGGGTACGTTTTTACCGAGCCTATTACGGCCGGGTACGATATGATGATGATGATGCCCACAGAGGCGTATGTCTTAAAAGTTTATGTATATATACATATGTATTACGCATTTCATGTCAGTAGCCTTAGAGGTACCCAGATGTTGCAGGTTGTTTATTCTCTATCCCTGCTTACATTACTGTTCGTACTTATGGTTCCCTGCCTTACATACTCAGTACTTTATTCGTACTGACGTCCTTTTATTTGTGGACGCTGCATGTCGTGCTGCAGGTCCTGATAGACAGGCAGGCGCAGCTCCCCCACCATAGTAGGCTGTCCAGTTCAGCGGTGATTGGCGAGATCCCTTCTTCGGACTTGCCTTGGTCTTGGTATGCATTTTTGTTATAGATATTATGGGTATGTCGGGGCCCTGTTCCGGCTATGTTGCAACACTTATGTTCCTTTAGAGGCTCATAGACAGGTGTCGACTCATGTATAGTTTGGCAGGCCTTGTCGGCTGGTTTTTGTTGTATAGTCTCTCATGGTAGTGTGGTAGCTCGTACCTTATATATAGTTTCCTGATTGTCTAGTCATCCCATGTTATGTATGTTCATGCCATCATATTTTATTGTTGATTGTCCATGACCCATGTCTACCATTTATATTGATTTCGTCAGCCCTAAAAGATAATAAAGAAGGTTAGATAAAATGTATGTTGGTACTCGGTAAGTATGGCCGGGTGCTAGTCATGGCCCTCCGTTTGGGTCGTGACAATGGAGCGGGTTGCACGCCGCAACAGTTATTGAGGCTATGTGTTTGTAATTGAGTATTGATTCTTTGTTCATAGTGAACCTAAGTTGTTTAGTTGTTACTCTGGATTGATGTTAATATTGTATCTCCCCACAACATGTTTTCCCCCTCCCATGTTGCTAGTTGTTTGGTATTTTGTTTCCGTTGTATATTTATAACTGCACAGGTTTATGTGATGTCCAGTCTATCCTCGTCACTACTTCGTCGGGGTTAGGCTAGACACTTACCAGCACATGGGGTTGTTGTGCTGATGCTACACTTCTGTGCATTTTTGCACAGATCCAGGTTTTGAGGAGCAGCAGTAGCAGTAGTTCGGGAGCAGACTTTCCTATTCACGAGACTGAGGTAGCCTTGCAGGCGTCCGCAGGCCCGGCGTCTCTTCTTTATGTTTTCCTTTTGACTGTTGCCTCATTGTTTTCGAGACAGACAGCTGTTATAATTCTTTCAGACCTTTGTATTTAGTTTATTCTTAGTGGTTCGTGAGTAATGTGACACCAAATCTTGGGTAGAGGCTATTGTTGACTATTCCGCGTTTTGATTCAGACTTATAAATTAGACTTCCGCTATTATTATTATTAAATTCCATATTTCTTATTGATGCTATAGATTGTTAACAGATTTAATTATTAATGAAAGGTAAATAAGTTGGCTTGCCTAGCTACCACGAGTAGGCGTCGTCACGATCCCGATGGCGGAAAATCCGGGTCGTGACAAGTTGGTATCAGAGCACTAGGTTACATAGGTCTCACAACTCACGGACAAACTCAGTAGAGTCTGGGGTGTCGGTACGGAGACGTCTGTACTTGTTCCCCAGAGGCTATTGTGTTAGGAAAAATCTCTCATTTGTTCTTTCTCGTCGTGCGGTTTGGTTTCTAAATGCTGATTGAATTTCTACTCTGTTCTTTCGCAGATGGCGAGAACACGCGCTTCCTCATCTACCGATCATCAGTCCGAGCCCCAGACAGCTCCCGCTAGGGGCAGAGGACGTGGCCATGCTAGGGGCCGAGGTAGGGGCAGTGCTCAACCCCAAGAAGCAGTACCAGTGGCGGAGCCCCAGGTTGACCTTGAGGAGGAGGTTCCTGCCCCAGCTGAAGCGATTCAGGTGGGCCCAGCTCAGGTCCCAGAGGGGTTTATTGCTATCCTAGTTCTTCAGGACGCTTTGGTCCGGTTGGTGGGCTTCATGGAGAGTGTCACCCGAGCAGGATTGCTTCCTGTAGCACCAGCCACTTCCCAGGCGGGAGGAGGAGCCCAGACTCCTTCTGCACGTACTCCAGAGCAGGTAGCTCCCCAGACTCAGATTCAACCGGGTCAGCCAGCTGCGGCAGTTCAGCCGGGGGTAGTTGCACAGGCCGGTGATGGAGCGGCTATGTCTGCAGATGCTTTGTGGAGGCTGGACAGGTTCACCAAGCTCTTCACTGCTACATTCAGCGGAGCTTCTTCTGAGGACCCCCAGGATTTCTTATATAGCTGCCACGAGGTTCTTCGGAACATGGGCATTGTGGAGTCCAATGGAGTTGATTTTGCAGCTTTTCGTCTATCTGGATCCGCCAAGACTTGGTGGAGGGATTTCTGTTTAGCCAGACCAGCAGGGTCGCCGTCCTTGACCTGGGATCAGTTTTCAGAATTGTTTCTGGAGAAGTTTCTCCCCGTTACTCAGAGGGATGCTTATCGAAGGCAGTTTGAGCGCCTCCAGCAGGGGTCTATGATAGTCACTCAGTATGAGACCAGGTTTATCGATCAAGCTCCCCATGCCCTTGTCATACTCCCCACTGAGAGGGAGAGGGTGAGGACATTTATTGATGGTTTGATCCAGCCTATTCGTCTTCAGATGGCCAGAGAGGCGGGGAGTGATATTACTTTTCAGGAGGCGGCCAATGTGGCCTGGAGGATCGAGATGGTTCTGCCACAGGGGGGTGGTCATAGAACAGACAAGAGACCCCATCATACAGGTCGGTTCAGTGGTGCCTCATCTGGGGGCAGGGATTCTTATGATATGGGTCAGCCTTCCAGGCCTTTCCAGTCAGCCCTCCAGGTTTCTCAGGNACTTTCTCGTGGCTATTTTATATTCGCAAGAATAGATACCCTGCTCATTATGTATAAGTTTTAATCTCTAAGAATCTTCTAAATCCAAAAACATTGTATGCAGACAACGCTCTTTCTCCTTTTGAAAGATTCTTTAGAAACTTTTTACCGCATTGTGAAGGTGATTGATTTGGGTCTCTAAGAAGCCTTCTAGATACACAATATTAAAATTACAGTTTATTGTACCAAGTCTAGTCTCCTCCTCTTCGTACGTTACGAGGTGTTACACCTAAGTAACTCTCTTTCCTTTTATATATAGTGCTTTTTAAAAGGCAACCTTAAAATTGCTTTAAATACCGAAGTTTATGTTGGGGGCAAGAAAAAGCCATAAAACCTAGAGATACATTGTAAACAGATTCCAGTAATCATCATTATGATGAAACAGAACAGCATACATCTATCTGTGAAAACCAGTATGACTTGATCACTACTAAAAAAACATTAATTTCAGGAAGTGGTGGGTGTAGATGCAATTTTAATATTGTAATAGCAGCATTGTTGTTAGAAGCGTTATCAAATGAC